ATACGATCGTCATGGTCCTGATCCTACCCTATATTGTTATCATTGCTCTGCTGGCTACCCATTCTGATGCTAAGCATGCCCCACCCGACGGCGAGTACTCCAAGGATCTGCCTAACTCTGCAAGTGTGGGAGCACTTTTTGACGATGATCCGGACTTGCCATACACGGTCGCCCTGCTAATCCGCTGTGCGCAGGCTCCGCGCGGAGTTGAGTCACCGCCTCTGGAGCTTGAGTCTAGTAACTATGTATATACCATATCTGCATCCGAAAGGAGGCAATACCGTGATTTCTTTGCACGAGCAGCAAGGAAGTGTCCGGGCTTGCTGATTGATGGAGACCTCAAGCGCTTTTTCTACAATCCTAAAGAGGATGCGGTTGAAACAAAAGTGAAGGGCAAACTTGTGACTCTGGATAAGTCCCCATTGTGAAGGTATGAGATCCCTTCCGAATGGACATCACTCATTCAAGATATGTCATTTTTCTACCATCAGCGATTGGTGGGTAATCCGATTCTTAATAATGGTCTACTGTATTATTTGTGGAGTATGATGAGGTGGATGAAGTATGATTCTTAAATTTTCTTTCCTTGAATGAATAAGATCAATGTCTATGATCAGTCCTTTGTCCTCACCGGCATATCGTTGCAACATGCCATAGTCGTTCTCTTAGTTACCTTCAGGAGGTGAGGGTTCAGGTCTCTCATTGTAAGTTGAAGCTGCACAGCGCCTGCTGTGGGGCCCTTGAGTTGTATGAAATGGGGAGTTAGCTGCGGTGATGATGTAACGCTGATGAGTATGCAAGCCGCCTAAGAATCGAAATTCAACGATGAGTAATATGAGTCTGAGGGCCAATTCATACCATCGGTATGATACCGATTAGCGCGGCTGATTCATCATTATTGTTGTGACACGACAATGACTTAGCTGCTGATCATAAGGACATTACAATCCATAGAAAGCTCATTATTAACGATATGTTCAGAATCTGAACTTCGGAGCCAGAATATCTCCTTTAGAGCACCTCAGCCCAAGGTCATCTATGCATCACACTACATTCGATTGTGCATCCCCGCACTGTGAGGGATCACCTTCGATGATGATGATGTGATGTGGCTTTCCTAACATTTAGACTCTGTTACCTATTATTCCACAAACCGTTTAATAGTTGCCTCTCGTGTACCTCACCTTCAACGCAGCTTCCCATCATACCGTTTAGTGAACGTCACAATAGGCTATGCCTATCAAGCATGTTAGAGGAGTCACACGCTGAGGATGATAGCAGTGATTCACCAGCAGTGAATTCAGAATTATCTCCTTCGACGTCTGCGTTCGTTTGCTTTACGCATTGGAATGAACAGACTCTCGAACAATCATACTCTACCAATTAGCGTAAAGTTCCCAACGTCCTTAGCTCTTATCCTGGCGTACAGTAAAAAGTCTTGTGGAACAACTTCGACCGAATGATGCGTCCTTACCGACCATCCCACAGTCATAATCTGTATGTTTAAGAACCAGTAGAATGCTGATCTCAAACTAGCGGGAACCTTTTTCTTCGATATCTTTCTGGATGCGGACCATTACCGGATTAACCCTCGGAAACTATATCTGTATTTAGGTGCCATCTGATTCAAACGATGACCACTTCTCTCGATGTCGGCGTTCATTACATTCATATGGCGATCCTAGACAATCGTTGGCTTTCGTGGAACCTATCTTTTCATAATTTATTCAGATCCACCCGTGCCCGTGTGGGTCTCTTGTGGTTCATTCTCCTTGAATAAACTAACAGAAGAATCCGAAACCGGAAGGTCAACGAGTAAGCACCAGAAACCCGGAGGTCCTGGAGTCAACACCCGATACCCGAAAACCCGAAGGCAAATAGGTATGATACGTTTGAAAACCGGGAACTTGAAAATGTAACAGATGTCGGATGTGACAATGAAACTGACAATGTCAAAGGTAAATGCATCATTGATATTTAAATCGTAGTCTATTAATTATAGATGCACCCGCTCCAGAGAGCTTTAGCGATCGGAGATCACTTTATGGGCATTCATGAGTCAGGCATCCATCCTTTCCATTATCAGGATCTATACCAGCGACAGTCTGAACCCACAAGGAGCCAGACTGGCGTTGGCGTCTACCGCGATAGCACTTGCGCCGGCCGGAAGCGGTCTCATCTGACTGAACGTAGCCGTAGGAGTGGTGTTGGCGATCAGTAGAGTTGGAGAGATTGAAAATCTCACCGTCCAATCCAGCAAACGATGTCACAGTCTTCTTAGAAACGCCACAGTGACGGACAACATTGGCAACGGTATCGCCGAGGACGACGGCAATGAAGGCAGCGAGCATCTTTCGGAAGGCAGTGGATGTCTGAGCCCAAATACCAGAGCGACAGGATATGTCGCAGGACGTCGTAAAATTGCTCAGACCAGGCACCCTGTGAAATAGACCCTTGAAGATGTGTTCGTCTTCACTATGACTCAACCCATCAATGCATTGACCCTCAACATTCATACGCGACCCCACCATGCATGTCTCACTGTGAATCACCATTAATGAGATGCCCCAGCTTGGCATACAACTTCTCGAGCTCCTGCGTTGCACCTGGAAGTCTATAATTGACATCTACACAAAGGCTCAGTCTTCGAGTTTCCGGATTGTATCACCACAGTAACGATCCCACCTTCCAGAGCCACATCCTCTTTCCTCTCGCTCTTGTCTATGTTGTCGATCAGCACCGCCGGGTTCACTTTGCCTGAAACTCCTATCATATTACACTACGTCGCATCGATGACCGACCTTCATTTCCTTCCTCCTGTACAAGCGACGATGTAGCAGTGCTTATATCGTCAACATCCATCATGCCAGGCTCGACCAAATGCAGCTGAACGGCTATTAATGGCTTCTTATGTTCGTGTTGAGATCTCCTTTGTAAGAACGATTTGGGCTGGTCTGAGAGGACACGAGTGAAGTTGATATCCCAACACTACGTGATGATTACCTTTCTGAATCACCTGTGGCTTGGTCATGCTCGGGTGTCTGAAAGAATGATCTCTGCTGCCAAGCCGTTAATGGACCATCAAGGCAATCCTAGCATTCATCAAACCATAATAGACTTACCCGATCCCTGTCACCAGTACTATGCAAACAAACTGGACGAATGATGTGCGGAAAATTTGGAACATAGTGTTATCAAAGTAATAGCTGATGAGAAAAGATTTCAGAAGAGGCTTTACTACTACAACAACAACTACAGTGAATTCTACAATACTGCAGTATTAGTCTGTCATCATGATCATTATTCTGTTAACATCCCATACATTAGGAGAAATAACTCGAGACTCGGAAGTCCATGTTACTCTTGCGAGGGTGTATTTCACTATGGATGCTCACTTGCAGTAACACTGTGTTTGAATATGTGACAACTGACGGGGAATATCATCAGATAATCCCAGCCACTTGGAATTGACGAACCAAATTCCACTAAGCTCGTACAGTTAAGCATGTGAACATCATAACAAAATGGTCAAACCGGACAACGCATAGCGATCATGAATAACTTGGCAACGACCATATCGTCCAAAAGGACCCATCATGCTGTCATCAAATCCCCGTCGCGGAGAGGTTCATGCCCAAGTTCGACATCTGTCTCGTTATAATGCGACGCCAAACCATCGGACGTGCCATCTGAGCTGCGAGTGGAATCGCATTCAGTTCATAGCTCCTCGGTAAGCCTTGACCTGAGGAAACTTCAAACTCCGCAACACGCAGCTCGAATAATTCTCCTCACCGGGGCAACTACTTCCCGGTCGGCTTCTTCCCATCGTTCGTGGCCTTTCTAGTCGCCTCCTGGGAAAATTATCGTTTTACGAAGAGTCAGAATCACAAGGAAGTCTCGAAACTCTGCAAATTAAATTCCTTGTTAACAGCAACATCGTTCGAAATTTCATCCCTAAACACTAGTGTGACTTGAAACTTGAACAATGCCAACCGAGATAACCCCATGGTCGCAAATCAAGTTGCGTCATACTGCTGACCTACACCCTCAGTAGCTCTCATGTTAATACATCAGTGTTGGAGTATATGTTTTTCCCTCGGGAGTTTCCTCACCAATAATATAGTTTAACATACGAATTCGGGTCGAATTGTAGAAAAAGCAACAAGAATTTCCATATTGTCGCCAACACAAATAGTCGACCATGTGCATATTTTCCTACACTGATCTCAACCTGGATGCCTCCCATAATAGAAGGTCTAATGGCGTCTTCTATCTACTGCAAAGGTATAACATCCCTTGCTTTTGATTACAGTACGTGTGGTCATTGAGTTACAGTTCATTCCGGTTTGAATGCAATAACTATGGTCGGCCAATACCCACCTAGATGCAGCAGTAGCCAATCGACTGCTCCCTGCAGTCGATCTTCCATTTTTCACATCATCGCACTGCAAAGAGTTCCTCCATAAAATACAAACTGGCTTATACCCACTTTCCTCCCTGCATATGGCGTCTTCAACACGCCTGGTCCCGTCGTTCGACACCACGAAGAATGTATTTCTAAAATTTCCCAAGTGACCATATCTTCCAAACAACTTAGTTCACCCGCGGGTAAATGCACAGACGAGCACGTATCTCTATTCTGCAATCCGGTACTCGTAGGAGTCATCTTCGGGATCTCTCTGTTTTCACCTTTTTCTCTCCGACTTGCTTTTTCTGGGCTCGCAACTAATCCCAAAATACCATCATTATCGTCGTCATCATCATCAAGTGGAATTACTTCTTCTCATGACAGTGCCGCTAGTCTGCGGTCGTACGCCCTCGCGCAAGGCCCCTGAACTTTCTTGATTGGTCCATTTTTCTCTACTATCAATTCTTCCTCTCGCTCCACTTTGCGCCGTGCCTAAGACCGGCTCTCGCCACATGTTGGTGATAGTCAACTATCTCACTTGATAGTAGTGTTCGATATGATACAGTCGGATATGAAATGTCTTGTTTCGAGGTAGATTGTACAGGAGGGAACCGCACTGTAGACTGAGATCAAAATCGATCACGCGATCGATTTGGCTATCACCACTCACATCAGCAGGTGGTGTGTATTCTTCTGGGAGGAACCCCACTGACTGAGCTTTGTTGTAGAATCGACGAGCTGAAGTTCGTTTGAATTTCCCAATCCTTACGCTCCACCGACGATTCTTACGTGAATACTTAGGCGAAGAGGGATACGCATCATCCTGGGAGTTGTTCCCATGTTGTGTGAATGTTATTGCCGATCGAATTGGAATATAAAGTCTTCGACCAGGTCGGAAATCAAGTTCGACTAGAAGACATACAGATCCTAAGATATCCCGAGGTTATCATGGTAAGATACAAAACATGTCCACACCAGCTTTCATCAGATCAGCATGAAGACTCTTCAAGTTGTTCCTCATACTGGCCTCGACACGCAGCAGTGCTACAAGGGACGTCGCCTAATAATCATTAGTGTTGTTAGAGGAATATATGCTCGCTCGGCTCACATACGAATTCGGGTATACCAGATACCCATCCTCACCTCCATCACTCTCGACGCTGAACTCATCCCTTTTCCAAACAGAACCTTACTGCCCTCCTTCGACACGTAATCAGGGTACGATGATTCCTATCAAAACTGGGCTATCAAGTTGATAACATCTTCATAGTAACAGTATCAATAACAACAACAAGTTGATAGCATCTTGATAGTAACAGTATCAATAACAAAAACAAGTTGATAGCAACTTGATAGTAACAGTATCAATAACAACAACAAGTTGATAGCATCTTGATAGTAGTAGTATCAATAACAACAACAACAAGTTGATAGCATCAAGTGTACGATGACCAAGCATAATAATAGTCTCACCTGTAGCATGGTCACTATCGCAACTACTCTCAACAGTTCGCTACGAACAAGTCCGAAGACCAACTCTCTCACTTCCTCAAGTCGCCTTAGTCGATCAAGAACACCTAAAAAGGACCCTACCACATCATCCAAACACGACCCATCAACCTAATACTTTTAACAAGTCTTGTGAATCTATGAACTCTCGTCGTGCCATCACCGTAACCATACGGAGGTTTCCTTGCAGCATTCAGAACATCCATATACCCCTCCCACACCGTCCTCGCTAACAGGTCCAACTCCTACATGATGCACTACTACATGATGAGGAATCATATATATTCAACTACTATTAATTATCTATATGATAGTTTGTATTATCGACATTTGTCGAGCCCATGGTAAAAGGCAGTACGAAAATCATCCAGAATGGATCTGCCGATCATCACTGCAGTTGATCTAATGTGTATATACATCTAAGATTAATATTTACTATAACTTGTATCATATCATCCACTACATCTGTTTACCTATTTTATTGGAATGCCACCCTGGCGAAAATTATAGCACGCATATGTTTCCGCGGCCAATAACACAATTATTCTCCACCAAGCGAAAGGTGAAATATGTTCCCACGAGGCTTTTCCATATCATGAGTAAAACTTCATTATTTTTTATCATCTATCAATACATGATTTCATTATTCCTTCAAAAATCATTGTATAATACAATGGTGAATACAATTTGTATTCACCATTAATATTATTCAATTACAATTACTCCCCGCTTACATCGAGTTCGATCTTAAAACCATCAACCGGATCATCCGGTTCGCTTCGAGGGGTCCAAGCCATGAAGAAACCAGCGTTATCAGATATACCTGAGGGGAAAATGCCGCCAGCAGGGATCGAACCTGGGACCACCCTCTCCTCACCCGAGATGCAAGTCTGGACCCCTCTACCACTGCCATCATCAGCCTCCTCGTCATCTTCAATTTCAAATCTTCCCTTTATATCCCTACCACTTCATTTCCAAATCCATCCCATCTCCAACCTACCCCATCTCCTTCCTCCTAGCCTCAGCAAGAGCATCTTCGAGCACAGCAATTTGACTTCGCAACGACGCCACGACTGCTCTCAAGGACTCCATCTAAATCACCAACAAATACTCAACACAGATAGAGGCGAATTGTAATGATTGTGTGATGAGACTGTGTCTCATTTTGTGTATTTGTATATCTAATATCTCACCGAAAACTAGCGCTACTCTATTATGAAATTAAATTGGAGACTTACGGGTGTGGTAAAATATGCACATCGCCAAACAAGATGTGGTATAAGCCTTATTTCCAATGTTGTGTCAAAACAGTATGAATGCTAAGTTGGAGGAGTAGATGAGAAACGGTG